CTCTTAAAAAAAAACGTGTCTCAGACTTATCCTTCAGATGCGGGCAAGTCTAATTTATGACCACATCATAGGAAAGCAGCTGATGATTTTAATTCGGTTGCCTGTAGGATGGTGTCGGTCTCCACCTGTTAACGGCTTATGCTGCCCTCCACGTGGCCACACCGATGGTTCTAGCCAACATTTCTCACAGTCTTTTCTGGGGGAGGTGAGGGGGATACACAACATGATCTTCTGTGAAGGCTGTACTTGCTCAAGCTAACTTCTTTATGATGCAAGAATACACGTCCCAGAGTAAGTTCATCACCATGGGTCCCTGTAAGTCATCCCAAATCTGGCTTCCCTGCCCCTTGCCACTTTATACCTGGAGGCTCAGCATGGACACAATTAGCTTGTCCCCTGATCCCCCAGGAGGTGAGAAGCAGATCCAGGACCAATGGCTGTTCTAATCAGAGTCTGATACGGCCGGTGGGTCCTGGAAATGCACAACTATTCATACTTCTGCTGGCTTCAAGTTGAATGTGTCCAACAGCAGCCTCCTTGGCTCGGCCAAGCCTCCAGGCAAGTCCTGAGGCCTCCTCTGTGGCTAACTGTGGCCCCCACACTCTGTTCCATCCTCGGGCAGCAGCCGTGGGACCTGCCCTCTGAGGCTGGCCTGGCAGCCAACTCCCTCCCTCTGTGTCCTAAGTTCCTAGAAGTCAACTGGTCTCCAGTTCTATTCCCCACACCTGAAAAAGGCACAAAGAGTGTTGCCTCACTCACCAGGCTGTGAAGATTTCCCGCTCTGTGATAGAACGGATTGAGCGCTTCCCCTCTCCCGCTGCAACATGATGGCCATCTACCTGCGAGGCACTAGTCTGGTGGGTAAAACGGTTGTCATCTTTCTTTCTTTCTTTTTGTTTTTTTAATTAGGGCTTGGAAGGTACCAGATCAGATACACAATTACAAAATGCCACAGAATCCAAAATAAAAGACCCAGAGTAGCGTCACTGGAGGTAGGCTGGCTCGGGCAAGAAGTTTTTACATCCGCACCCCTTCCTGACAAGGGATTTCTAAAGTCTCGGGACCTGCCGGGGTCAATTGTTTTTAAGGTTCTTTTTTCCTTCTAAAAGTAGTCAGTTAGTGGCTAAGAATTCATTGTATTAACAATATTAATTTATATCAGTATTTATTAATAATTAACAGAAGTATTGATTTTAGTTATTAAGATGATCAATTGAGAAATGAAGAATCGATGGTAAATTAATAAGTTACGAGCCCCCTAGCAAGAACACTTTTGTGGCGACAAGGTTTTTACCTCATCAGGTAAGAGTGGGAGGGACACTGGGCCCCAAACTTCCACCGCAACAAGTGGAAGGCACAGACACACATACCGGTTTCCCTCACTGTTCCAAACTTGACGTTATGCCCCTTCGCTTGTACGAAAGACCTACATTAGTACCCACTTTCACGAACTGAAAGAAATCCAAAGAGGATTTTCACTTTTACGAAAAATGTAAAAGCAAAAGTAGCAGTCAGTGGGGTTTACCCTGAGAGGAGCCTGAACAGAGGCGGCGCACACCTGGCTGGCGAGTGGCGGCCCCAGCGCCTTCCGCGGGAGCTACACTCAGTATTTCCGCGTGGGGCCACCGACTCTGAACTGTGTGTGAGCATCCGGGCTTCACCTCCACCTCTTGTGATCATCCGTTAGCAAGGTGTGTCCTAAGTATCAGGAAAGCCTAAGAGAGGTTTTATTTGGGGGTCTGGGAGTGCCACTAAATTTCCCTGAGGGATTAATGGTAACTGCTTCTTTGCTCAGGAAAAGTTCTACAGGCGCACTGTTCTTTCGGATGGTGGGGAGAGCTGTAGGTCAGTGCCGTTTCCTCATCCTTTCCCGAGATTTTCTGTGCCCTGCACCCCTCACAATCCTGGCTTAGAGTAAACCCATGATTCAACTTCTCAGTTTGTTTCCTAGTAGCTGCTGACTACTCATTTTAGACAGGATCATGATAGCCAGCGGTAAGTCAGAAAACAGCATTGTCACAGAAATCTAGGACTTAATGCAAGAATAGGGGAAAAAAAGATTTTTGTATTAAAGAATGAAGTTTATACTTGTTTATCTCCATAGAATGGACAGACGAATGAATTCAAGCAAGGACATTGGATGATATTAAATACTCCCCGATATTTTTTAGGAATGTCACAACCTGATTCCTGTTTGGCTTTCTGAAAGCCTCCTCCCTAGCTTCGAGAGACTGCCTATTCCAGGAAGCCTGCCCAGATTTCCTTCCTGAGATGCTCCTCTTGGGGCACAGGTCACAATTTGTCATACAATATCATCTGATGGAAACTTATTTTGTGTCCTGCATACACAGTGATTAACTACCGTATGTTACTTTGTTTTAGCCAACGTCCTTCTACATTTATGTCACATTTACTGCGTTTATGGTGTCCCGAATCCAGACTTCAGCTTTACCTGGAGTATCTCACTGGTATAACCCTCATCTCACAGACGTGGAAACTGATGCGTGCTGTTGTGGACACTGACAACCCCGTTCTTTTTTATTTCTGTCTTAAGTCAGCTTGGGATGGGCTCTGCTGCAGTAACAATATCTCAGGGGATGGATGGAATATGGGTTTACTTGCTGCTCATGCCACACTGTGCAGGTCTGGTGACCCTCCTCCACCTGTGGCCAAGCTTTTCTGGAATGTGACCTCCCAAGTCAGGGGTGGGGAGAGAGATGGACACACAGCCTTCAGGTGCCTGTCTGGAAGTGCCCCCTACTCTCCCTTAGAGTCCCCAGGGTGCAGTATGGTCTCCCTCCGCTGGTAGGGATTGTGGGCCAAACTCAAGTTCTGCTTTGAAAAGTCTCTAGCTAGGAGTGGAGTTGAGGGAGGTGGACCCTGGCTGGCTGGTGGGTACCCTCCCATCTCCCAACCCTTCTCAACCTGAAGGCCTGTGGTCTTTTTCCATAAATGTGGTTGGTTTATATGCAATATTCTATCACCGAGTTTCTATCAGATTTTGAAAATTATCCCACATATGGACAAATTTCCATTTGAAAAATCCTGTGCGCTCAAGGAAAATGAGGCTGAGCATCAAAACATTATACATTCTGGGCTCCTGGGTGGCTCAGTGGGTTAAGTCTCTGCCTTCGGCTCAGGTCACGATCTCAGGGTCCTGGGATCGAGCCCCACGTCAGGCTCTCTGCTCAGCAGGGAGCCTGCTTCCCCCTTTCTCTCTGCCTACTTGTAATCTGTCAAATAAATAAATCTTAAAAAAAAAACAAAAATATTACAGTCTTTGGCCTAGCATGTGTAGAAAAACACACCATTACTGTGGGTTTTTTCCTGCTTCGATACTTTTACAAATTAGTCAAATGTATCAATCTTCTTTCCCTTATAGTTTTTATCATTCTGAGAATGACATGTCTGAGGGGACACAAAGTCCCTGAAGTTTTCTTCCAGTATTATTTAAATTCCATTGTTTAAAATTAATTTAAAAACTTGGAGCTACTTTTAATTTAGTTCGGTGTAAGGACAAGTAAGCAATCTTATTTTTCAGGTTGGTACCCAGATCGATCTAGTAATTTGTCTGGAATCCAAATACAGAAGCATGAAGCCCATTTCCAGACTCTGTTCTGAGGCAGCCCCAGCTTTAAATGTATTACAGAGTAACATCTAATTCTCTTTTCCTTTCTTAGGTCCCTTTTCATATATGAACTGTGGAAGCAATATGATGAAATCAGAAGGGAGAAAGTACTTTTATTGGAACTGCAAATTTAGACATCTTTACGGTGTTATCTTTCTAGCCAAGATCATCTTTCATGGTTAATAGGAATGCTTGGAAATTTAGTGTTCTTCAGTGCCTAAATGCATGCTACTTCCCTCTTTTGAAGGCAGTGCCAGAAAGGTCATGGGCTGCCCCAGAACTTGCAAATCAGGTGGGATCCCTAGATCATCTGATCCAATGTTTTCCGCTTTCAAATAAAACAAATTTAGGCTCACAGAAGGGAGGTGAGGGGGCCCAGTTCACAGAGCGATTTGATCCAGATGTGCCAGGCCCTTCCGGGGCTTCTCTCCCTGAGCTGGGTGGATCCAGCAATCCAGTTTGGGAACATATCCCTCTGAGGCTGCAAGGCAGGGAGAAGCCACGAGGGTCCCACACAGCTTCCCACACTCCCCACAGCCCCCCACCACACAAAGTCAGCCATCCACAGTGAAGAGAAAGACATTTAATCACTTCTTCGTCTTATCTCTTAAAGCGCTCAAAGTGTTTTCACAAGTGCAAAGGGAGCGATTGCTCTCAGCCAACAATTACCAGTAATTCCAACACACGCAAAAAAACTACAAATCACCGTGCTTTATACTTACTTTTAATTTCTGCACTGAAAAAAAAAAAAAAAAAGTGAAAACCATAACAGGTTAGTTTACAGTGACGTCACCTCTGCCTTTAAATTAACTTTTGCTCTTGGGGGCAGAAGGGGGAAAGAAAGACAGAAACACATGGAAGTGGGAGAGCAAAACAGTGGCCGAGACACCTGGGTCTGGCTAATTGGGCTCTCAACGCCCAGAGGCGGTGGCACCCTTGGCGTGCGAGCCTGTAAACACAGACAGGCAACAGTTAAGATACATTAAAAAAAAAAAAGTCCCACAATTCCATTCTTAGAATCAAGCACAAAAACAGACAGTGACCCCAAGATTCATGTGAGTGCACCCTGTCAGCCGCCGGGGCGGCCGCACAGCAGGGTGCGCAACCCAGGCCTCCCAGCGGCACCTGCACTGCAGAACTCTGCAGAGCTGAGCTGTCCCAGGGGTCCCTTGCTGGGCCGGGCGCAGGGCACTCTGCGGGGAAGGGGTCTGCAGGGAAGGGATTCGCAGAGAGGGGTGCGGCCCACAGCCGCAGCCTCCCCGGCCAGACAGCAGGAGCCGCAGGGGTGGGTCTGTGTGCTTTCGAGGCTCTGCCTCTGGAATGTTCTGCACTCGGACTGGGTGGGTGGTGGGTTTCAGTTACGCTCCACACGTTGTTTAAGTGCTTGCTTTATTTTTCATGTGCAAACTGTCACTGTCTAAAGCTTTCGGAAGGACGTGTACAGGTACGGACACCCTGCGGAGAGCCGAGGGTACGCGCGCGGTAAGGCCCCCCCTCCTGAGCGGGCGGGGACGTGGGGGCGCATGGCAGAGAGACTGGGAGAAATGACGTGTTCGGCTGCGTAAGCTCTAGTCCCTGATTCGGTCCGTCCAACGGAGGGGGTCCTCAGTAGGTGATTGTCCACTCTTTGACAGAGGCGTCATGAGACGTTGTGACCAGCGTGTGCTCGTCCAGCCAGGCCAGGCTACTGACGTGGTGAAGTCGGTGCGCATCTGGGGAGAAAGAAGGCATGCTGAGGGTGAGCCCCGTGTCTCTGCCCTTGCAACACCACAGACAAGGAGCAGGGGACAGGCTGTGGCGACACCGACAGCGGGCCCTGAGGAACTGACCGCGGACTGCTGTTCATCTAATCCTGGCCCTCCTCCTGGAAGGGTGAGCATCTGGGTGGACAGTGGGTGCAGGCATTCTCAAGCCGGTCCCTCCCAGACACGGGGACTGTCCCAATAACCAACAAGGTCCCCTGGGGGACAGAAATACTCCTCCCACGGAGATGGGGGGTGAAAAGTCTTATTTCTTTTCATGCATAAGCAACACTACACAGAGGATACACAGCCTCCTGGCCTATCTGCAGTGATAAGGGAGGGGGATGAATAAAGGCCGAGAAACCTCTGTAATTGGTGGACTCGTGACCAGAAGACCCCGAGAGTCGCCCCCTGTGTGAGGTGCACCAGGGGTGACCCCATAACCCCCCAGTCTCCTGCCTCCACCCCACTGACTTGGTGGGTCTTACTACAAACAGAGCAGGGGGCCCAGGTAAATCCCCTCTGCCTGGGGGGTGACACTGGGACAGACACAGTCCCCACGAACCACTTGTGACCACAGAGTCCCTGAAGTGAGCTATTGCTATATGGAGGAAAAAAAAATGTTGGGCTAAATAAAACTTACTATTATAGTTTTACTTGTTTTTTGTTGTTGTTTTGTTTTTTATACAGGGCTGCTAAAAAATAGCAAGACATTACACTCCTATTGTACGCTGCCCACTGTGGGGAAAACCTGCTCAGCCGTTTAATTTAGGGGGTGCGGTAGGGGAAGGGGAAGTGCTGTGATCTGAATGTTTGCATCTGTCGCCCACGTTGTACGCCGGAAACCTAATGTCCAAGGCTGGGGGGATCAGTGCCTTATTAAACAGACCCCACGGAGCACTGCCCCTCCCCGCAAGTCTCTGACCTGAAAGAGCTCCCCCACGCCCCAGCCCTGTGGACCCCCCATCTGGGACTTCAGCCTCCTGAACTGTGAGCAATAGTTCTGTGGTTTCTGAGCCACCTAGTCTGCGGTACTTTGCCATGGAAGCCCAGCAGGATAAGGAAGAGATGTCAAGAGGAACCCCCACGTGTGAAGGCAAGTGTCCGGAGTGACACCACCTCCCCTCCCTCAGGGAACACACGCATCGTCCCTCCCTCTGCGTGTCAAGCAGGGGCCAGCGGAATGAGGGCCATGCTTCTCAGGGCTAACTTCCCCAGAAGCACAAAGAGGACACTCGGGCTTGGGGACAGCCTCTCTGGGGGTGCCTGGGGAGCTGAGGTTAGGAGCGAGAGTCACCTTGGATCTTGACCCTGGTCTCGGGGTCACTCAGGGTCCAGACGTACACCATCATGTCCATGCCACCAGAGGCAAAGTGCTCGTTGTCTGGTGACCAGGCCAGGCAGACGATCTTCGCGTGGTGTCCGTAAAAAACATTGTTCTCCTAGTTTCGGGTTAAAAACAGAGGGGGTAGGTAGGTCAGGGTTCAGGCCAAAGGGACACGTGTCATCTCACCTGCCCTCTGGGACCACAGTGAGGGCTGATGCTGACGTAGTGCTCTCTGCCAGGACCCGTGTACACCTCCTGAGGTAACTGCTGCTCCGTGACAAGGCCCAGGAGGACGCAGCCCAGCACTGGGCAGCAGTCACTGTGTCCCCGGGACCAGACGGCCTCTACCACAGCACCTACCCTGAGGTGCTAGGTGTGTGCGCACTCCTTCACGGGGCCCTCAGCCCAGCCAGGGTCATCACCACGCTGACACGAAGGCTCAAGGGGCCCCGCCCTGGGCAGGGGGTGCGCAGGGAAAGTTCGGGCAGCAGAGGGAGGCGGCCAGCCCCTCCCTGCCCCCACCTGCCTGCTACTCGCTACTCTGTGGGGCGAGGACTGGACGGGGCCTCCAAGCTGGAGGACTAGCACTTTCCTGACGCTATAAGGATGGTTTTTCTTCAGGGCATTCCATTTCCTTAATCCCTAGATGAGGTCGACCTCCCGAGGATTTTCTTTTTCAAGTTTGCCTGTTCCATACTGTATTGATCCCACCCTGCCTACTTAGCATAACGTCAACAAGACTTCTGTTGTACATACACGAAATCACTAAAAATGAGATAAACACAAAAGCTGAGAACCGTGGCAAGGGAGCAGAAAAATCCCCCGGGGGGCAGGTGTATATCCATGGAGGTGCAGGTTACAAGCTTTCTGTCCAACACAGGCGGACACTTGCCTTCACCGGCCCCTCTTATCAGAAGTGACATTATAGCATCACACAGACGAAGAAAAGACGCAAGCCTACTTAATACATAAGTGCACGTATTTATGGGGAAGTGTACAGATGCCTGTAATTTACTTTAAGTGCACCCTGAATTAAGATCATTGGATGGATAATGTAACACAGGGAGATGTTAATGGCAAAACCTCAGTGGTAAATTCTTTCATCTTTGCTGCGTTCCAAAACGTTCAAGTGCTGCAGGGCTGGCATTGTGTAGGGCCCAGAGACCGGAGACCTGCCAGCCTGTGCCCCCTGCTCTGGCCAAACCCAGCAAGTGACCGACCCCCTAACCAAGCTCAGTCTCCTGTATGTGAGCCAGGGTGAATGGACCACTCTTGGCCCTCAGACTGTCATCCCGTCGTGCCTGTGCGCTCTGGTCCACCCCCACCAGGCCACTGCCCCGAGCCCCCCCGCAAGGCAGTGCTGAGAGGATGGGTGCTCATCTTCGTGAGACTCAAACGGTAATGAGACTAAGAAGAAAATCTAGTCTCAGCCCTTCGACAGAGAAGAAACCAGAAAATCACTCAGCCAGGCAGCCCAGGTGAACCAATCGGCTTGTCTTCATGGCAAGTCTCACGGCCGCCTCGGGCCCTAACTTTCTGGCAAGTGCTCTACCTCACTCATAAAACCCCAAGACCCTGGACAGCAGCATGTCTCGTCTCACATCATTCAGCCCTGAGAGCAAGGAAGCTGCGTGGTCTCATGCAACTGCCGGGCTGATGACAAGGGAGAGAAGCCACGGCCCCCCACCCGCCCACTCACCGAGTAGCCATCAGCAACGCTGAAGACTGTGACCACTTTGCTGGCATCGCACACAGCGAGGAAGGCGCCATCATGGGAATATGCCACATCAGTCACGGGGCCCTTGGCCTCCAGGAGCTTGCCCTCGTCCTTCAGTGTGGTGCCCAGGATGGAGTACAAGCGAACATTTCCGTCCTGCAGGAGGACAGAGGGGCAGTGAGTCACCTCCCGGCGGGCACGCTACGGGAGAGCATATGTGCATGCACACACATGCTCCCGATACCTTCCCCCCAAAACCTGTCAGCAGTTCCCATGGCATACCAGCAGTGTGGGAAGAAATACTCAGAGAAGTAATTAAGAAGCTGAATGCTAGGTACCCCCAATTCTGATTCCATGTATGTGGGTGTCCAGGACTCTGACTTTTTCCATCAACGCTCCAGTCAGTCCTGACGCAGGTGTTCACAGGGCAAACCGTTAGGGCCGCCTATACACGTTAGTGCTGCACTGGGAGCCCTGGTCTGGCTCTGTTCTCCCGCCACACTGCCTGCCCCCTGTGCTCTGGATCCACACCACCCTTCCCAGCGCCCTGGAGGTTCCTTCAGGCACCGACTCGCTCTCTGACCACGCCCCGCTCCGTCCAACCTGCTGACTCCTGGTGAGCTCCCCATCCTTGTTGTGACCCAGGTACTTCTTCACAGGGGAGGCACACCTGCTCTCTCAGAGGGAGAGGGACCCTCAGAGGGTCCAACTCAGAGGGACCAACTGCCCGAGGGGTCCCTGAGGTTGGGATGCTCAAGCACCTGGCTCTACCCAGCAATCCTTGGCTGGAAGCCTCTGAGGGGTGTTTGGACATCTCTGCTAACAGTTCTGCCCATGCCGTGGGAGCCCAGGCAGGTGGACATACCCTGGGCACCTGTCCTCCAGGCCAGGGACTGCCTCTCCCCAATTTCATGACCCCTCACACTTGTCCAGGGCCTGGCCTGAGAAGTGTCACACTTCTGTCATTCCACACGGTGGAATGAACCCATGAAGGGGGCAGAGATGGACAGACAGAAGGAACCGGGACAGGTAGTATCCTTGTGATTGTCCAAGGCTTCCCTGGGAGGAGTCAGATTAAGGACCAGGCCACCCTCTTGGGGCAGCTGAGCTGTCCAAGGGGCCAAGATAATCCAAGGTCTCCTAGCTCTGGCCACAACACAGGCCTGGCTCTGCCCCTAATGCAGGAGGGAGAGCCACATCCAGACGCTGCAGATTGCTGAGGACAAAAGTCCTTGAGCTCACGTGATAAGCTCGCCTGATGTCTACCTACAGTGGGAGCCTGGGCTCCAGGGTTGTGAGTACATGGCCCACAGGAGGCATTGCAAAAAAGGAAAAGGCTATGCTCTTAGACTACACACGGAGGACGTCATAGGAGGCACACAGCACCAACGTCCACCACCGGGCTAACTATGTGATGGGAATGCCACTTGCTGGAAAGTCATTAAAATAAATGGAGACTACTGGTGTGTGGGGGACAATGGGGAAACCTAGGATAAATAGATGTGCCCTGTGTGATCACGGAGATTCACAGGCCCAGGGCTGGCAGACAACCAGGAAAGACCAAAACTGGTAAGACCCTGAAGTCGGAGCGGAGGAAACATGGGAATAGCCATCTCTCTTCTTTTTAAAAAGGTAAAGGTCTAGTAAGCAGGGCATAGTGCAAGAGGGAAGACCAGATTTAAACCCCATGTCTGACTCTGACCTCCTGCCCCAGAATCATGGCTGTGAAATTCTCCCTAAAAGAGGGAAGACAGCTCCTCAAAACATGCCAGAGAGCGGGGATTTAGGAAAGAAGGGGTGACAGGCCCAGAAGGGACTGCCAGCACTTGCGGGGGTGTGGGCCTACAGGGACGGTAGCCAAGGCTGAGCACTGCAGGAGAGCAGGGCTGCCTGTGGGAGGCGGTGGGGCTGTTTGGCAGTAGGGGATGCAGTGCCCTGTGGAGGGGCAGCCACACACGGGACACATCTGACTCATCTGAAAACCAGGGAAGTCCACGTGTCTTACAGCCACGACAACAGAAACACAGATGAAGGGCTCGAGTGCAGGGGCTGAGGGCTGACAAGCCCTGTTCGTCTGTGTCTGGGCAGCAGTGGCTCGACACTGTGCCCAAGGGCTCCTGGGGGAGGGAAGAGCTTGTGGATGTGGCTGGGGGCTTCCTCACCTGCTTGGGCAGGTACCCTGATGCACTGTCAAGCACCCAGGGGCCCCTCTGGCTGGTCCTCCTCCAGGCTGGAAGGGTGGGCAGCAAGGACATTTCGGAGGCTGAAGGTGAGACCGCCTGGGGGGCAAAGCCCCACCCGCAGACCAGCCTTCCCTCAGCCCTCACATCGGCTCCATGAGATCCGCCCTGGGCTCCTCCAGCAGCTGGGGAGCAGGCGGTTTCACAGTGGACACCAGCAGGTGACCCCTGGGTTGGCTTTTGGCACGTTGGGCACTGCCCAGCACTGACTTCCTCCCCTGGGGCATGAAGGTCCGCCATACCTGCTACAGAGCTCCTTCATCAGGGCACCCGAGCCTCCCAGGGCCAGAAGGGACAAAGGGAGCCAGACTGTAAAGCACTTTAGGACTCAGCCTGGCAGGCAGGGACCACAGGGTCTCTCCGCTCTAGGTTTACAGGAGCAAGAACACCACATTGGGCCAGACAGATGCCAACACTAAAGGAAAACCTTGAGCCCATCGGGTTACTGGTGCTAAACACGGGTTAGGAATCTTCTTGTCATGTTCCTACCTCCAACCTGCCAGCCCAGGTCACCCACGCTGGTCCTCTCTCAACACACTAAATCACATGTGCCCTCCACACTTACGTGGTTGATGGCCCAGCGGTCCCCCCTGCTCTGTGCTCCCAAGCCCAGCCCCTTGGTCTCCCACTACCTCCCTTAGGACCCTCTATCCATAGCCTTAGGACCTTTTGCTTTAGGACCCTCTATCCATAGCCTGTGTCACCCCCAAACCGCCCCCGCAGCCGGGGTCAGAGGACATGAGGGACAGGAGACTCACCGTGCCCCCGACGGCCACTGTGTCACCACTGGGGTGTACTGCCACCACTTCCGGCTCATAGCCAGGGCTGTCGATGCTGAAGCACTTTTTCTGGTCCTTGAGCAGGACAATCTGAAAATCACAGGCAGCGGTCAGGGTGCAGAGGCCAAGGACAGATCGCTCGGCCCGAAGCTCACTGGGGGCGGGCGCCCTGTGACCCTGCGTTGTGCTTCCTCCCTCATCAGCCGCTGGGGACCGGGAAGCCATCTGACCTCTGAACTTTTCATTCTCCTGTCACATAATGAATGAGCTCTCCCAAACGGCCTTCTTTTGAGATTCAAGGGATACAAGTGTTTGGAAAAGCAAGGCTCTAAGGCAACAATGGGAACAAACAGGACAGGCCTGATTCTAAGTTCTGGTATCCCAGGTCCGAAAAAGTCCCTTCACAGCTCCAACCCGCAGCACGTGAAGCATCCTACGTGTGCCAGCCAGAGCATCTCCCACAGCTGGGGGACAATGCTGGCACCTGTCTTCCAGACAAAAACTGCGCCCCAGGCATGGGCTCCCACTCCACAGAGTCTCTCTGCTCCCCACTGGCCTCCCACCAGGGCACGACTCATTCCATGGGAGGGCAGGATGGATGGTGCAGGGAAGTCAGCCGGAAGCACTGGAGGGCACCTGGGAGGGGCTCCACCCGAGCCAGCCCCTGCCTCACCTCCCTCCAACAGAGGTGGGGGCAGGACAGAGTGCCCAGCCTGTCCTCAGCGCCCTGTGGACACACAAACGGGGACCTGATCCTGGCTCAGTCACCTACTGCTTGTGGGGACAGCTCTGTCCTGAGCCTCAGCTTCCCAGGGCAGGAGAACCAGCCACTGCCTACACAACACAAAGCCGGAATTCTACGTTCAGGATAAATAAAGTCCCTAATAAAGGCAAACAAAAGTATCAGCTCAAGTTCACCAAGTTTGAGACACACGCATTGCTAACAGTGAGGCACACCCCTGGAGACAGCAGGATCACCACCCCCCACCGCCACCTGGAGGCACTCACAGAAGAGGCCCTCTGTGCACGGGGACCTTCTGTGTCCTCCACCCCCACTCTTGCTGTCCCTCCTGCTTCTCGCTCACTGGACTGCTGCCAGATAGCATGGCCTAGATTTGTGACAACTCTGGCTTCAACCCATGGTATCCCTGCCCAGGCTACCAGCTGTCCCATGAAGGGCAGGCCAGCCCCTGACCCCACTCTCCAGTGGCCTCTGCTTCTGTGTATATTGTGAGGTTGGGGGGCGAGAAAAGGGAACAGGTGAACAGGTGGCAGAACCCTAAGATCTACTATGAAAATGCAGCCTGAGGAACGTTTACCTACCACCTGCCTGACTCGGGAAGTGGATTCACCTGACAGGTAAACAGTAGGGGACCAAGCATTTGCCAAAACTTGTCTAAGAGGTGAGACTTAAACCTAGCTATTTCCCGAACTAAAATCACAGGCCCCTTCCAGCATATTGTACAGAAGCATCCCACCTAGAGTGGGGCAGGAAGCCCGGGTAGCAGGGGCACATCACAGAACAACCTTGCATATCCCCACCCCCGCCATGTGGCACCAGGTTGCCCCTCTCGGATCCTCCTTGTGCAAGCCTTGGTCTGAGCCTCAGAGGAGGGCTTGTCAGGACTGCCCTCCACCGACAGGAAAGTGAGGCCCAACCCTGACTCTGCTCTGGCTCTCCATGCAGGTCATCACTATTGTTCCCCCACTGACTGCCCAGGCTGCTGATGGTAACTGCTTGGCAGAAGCTTCTGCTATCTAGGACACGCAGAAAACATTCTCCTCGAAGCACGTTAAGTGCACATGACACAGGAGGGGTGTGGGCTCCTGAACAGCAGCTATCTTTCCCAGGGTTGTCACTCCTACCGTGGGGGGCTTAGTCACACCTGCCCGCCCTGATCTCCTGGATGCCCTGGTCTACTGACAGACGCCGCCTGCATCAGAGCAAAACCTTGTAGAAAATGGGTCACACCAGGGTCTGGGTCAAGGGCAGTTTGTTCCCGAAATTCCAAAAGAAAAGGTCTGTAAGTGACCTGTCTTCAATGAGAAGCCAGGCCACAGAGCTAGGACACCAGATGCCATCCTGGCCCTGGTGCCCCTAGCCACCATGTGGCCTCGGGAGAAGTCGGGAAAAGAACGGGCAACACTGAGAGGAGCCTCCCAAGTCCCCTAGGAGCTGTTAGAGAGCTCACAGATGGTGAGGAACATGTGTAGAGTCACACGGTTCCAGAGCTCAGGGCTGAGACAACCGTGTTGCTGCTGCTGGGCCCCCAGCAGGCTCCCGGGCTGACGGACACATGGGGAGGCTGATGCCTGACAGCCGTACCCTCTAGCAGCTACAGACTAGGGCAAGCAACTAGCCCTCCCTCTGCCTCCGTGTCTGTAGGATACGGAGGACACTGTGCTACTGGAGAGACCTGCTGACCAAGTGACTCAATGTGTGTGCACACGGGTCTTGGACAGACATGCAGCAGAGCTCCCGCCGCACCGGAGGCAAGAGGTCAGATGCCACACCCGCCAGCTCCGCTCAGCTGTCCGGCTGGTGCTCCCCACCACTCTGAGGCAAGCCGTACCTGCCCGATGCAGACGACCACGGCATAGCCTCCGGGGCCCACAGCCACGCACTTGGGTTGGACGTCCATCTTCACAACTCCCTGCCCGCTGGTGGAGACAAGGGAAAACACGTTACGTCAACCTCACAGGGCTCAGCATGTGTGTTAAGCCCACACTCAGAGATGCCCATCCACCTGCACTGAGGGAGTCATGAGCAAAAACCCAGGACCAGTGAGAGAAAGAGATCCTCAGCTCTAGGGAAAGAGATCGGAAATTAAGCGGGGGCAGGGAGCAGGGCGGTGGGTGGTAGTGCTCTAGTCACTATGACCTGTGGAATAGCTGTGACGCCCCCAGGGAACTCCACCCCACTCTCGTCCTGAGTCCACTGGCCACAGACCCTGGGGATCCACGGCTACAGATGAAACTGAGCCCACCTCCCGCTCCCACGGTCACAGCCACTCTGCTCAGCAGGGTGACTCTTCTGAAGAATCAGATACTTTCACGGATGAAAATCATGTCTTTGTTTTTGGTTAATGCTGTGAAAACAAGCCCTGGAAATCTTGCACACACACAAAAACTTCTTGAAAATAGTAAATGAAGGAAAAAAGTCCCATGTGACCAGACCAAGCATGGGGTCCTTGTGGCTCAGGTCACCAGCTGTGGCTCTGCCCCGGAGGTCTCTCCCTGAGGAGGCCGAGGGTGCAGCAGCGCACGCAGCGGGAAGGCTCTCGTGTGGGCCCTGCTAATTCAGGGTCACCATGGGCAGCAGTACAGAGAGAATGGCTGGGGCCTGGAAACCAGGCTGTGGGGCACTTTCCGCACGCATCACGAGGCTCAACCAATTCCCAGTGCCCAGTCCCGCCAGGCAGGTGAGGCCTGTCACACGTCCTCCTGGAGTCCCCTGCCTCAGCGAGGGGGAAGGGGGGTGCGGCTGCAGGTGTCCAGTCTGTCCTTCCACGAAGCAGACCCTGCTCACCCCCCTCCTCACTCTGCACAGGAAATTGCAGCTGGGTAACAGCTACTCTCCTGGCGCCAAAGACAGCCAATTCAAGGCACCAGAGCCAAACCAAACAACACGGCCGCTTCCTCAAAGCACCTTGGTGCCTACGTGTCCTTTTGAGCACCTGCCACGTGCCAGGAGGCCATGAGGGCCTTGCTGGGCCTTCCCAACAGCCTGCAAGGCCGGCCCCACTGTCACCCTCCTCCGCTGTAGAGGAACAGAACGAGGAGGGCATCTGGGCTGAGAGGTTTCCCAGGCAGAGTCTACACAGGTCACTGTCCATGCGGGCCACCTGGAGTCTCATGCAGCCCCTGGCTGAGGGCCTGGCCACAGGAGGAGCAGTTGGGGGGAGCAGTGAGGAGAGCAAAGTGCCACTGAGCCAGAAACCATGTGGGCAGAGGGCCCCTCTTCTGGGGTGCACTGTGGACCAGGCCCTGGGGAGCCCTCACCTGTAGTCCCTCAGCATGAGGCTGGTATAGCGCACTGTGTCGTCCATGCTGCAGCTCACCAACTGCCCAGACTCGTCCACCGTCATCCTGGACACCTGGTTCGTGTGGCCCTTTCCGGCAAAAGAGTCGTTCTCCCCTGTCTCTGAATCCCAGTAATGTGGGGCGGGGGTTAAGGAAAAGCTGCTTCCAGGACACAGCGCGGGCCCTGCCGGGGACGCCTGGCCGCCCCTCACTCAGGACGAGACTGTGAGCACAGGGCCTGAGGGGAAGTCCACGGCAAGTCTGAATCCGAATTCCAGAACAGATGTTCTGGTGATGGTCGGTTGGACCACTGAGGACACGCTGCGTGAGGAGCAGTCCGGCTGGATCCCCCTGCACGGGGACCCCCGCAGCAGCCGGGCACAGCAGTGTGCGGGTTCCCACTGGCTAACGGTGCCCAGGGACCACAGCCCATCTGTGCTGGAGGCCCGGGACCATGAGCAGGAGGCTGGCTGCGCCTCCCTGCTCAGAGGATGACCAGCTGGGAACCGCCCGGGGCCGCCCAACCTTGGCAGGGATGGACTGCACGCTGTGAGTCGGAGGTGCTCATGGGGCAGGGGTGCTGTGAGTGAGTGGACGGCTCTCATTTCAAGTTGAGGATTATCGTTGCCTCTGGAACGTCACAGGTACGCTCCACGGCTGACAGGCTCTTGTTATGGAGACCCCAGTGCCTGATACCTGAGGAAACCTAGATACCTGAGCATTGGAATACACGCCAGGCTGCCCCGGCGCTGTGCTCGGGGAAGATCTGGAAGAGGAGGCGTCACACCAGGAGGGGAGCAATGCAGGGCAGCTGAAGATGGCCTGGCTGCAGACCAGCACCCCGCTCCAGGAGGGGCACATACCATACACTCCCCTCCTCACATTTAAGGGGGTAGAGGGTGAGTTCTCTGCCCTCCTACCCCAGGGCCGTAGGGACAGCTCCCTACCTGGAGCTCTCTCATGAAAACAGGGGTGTGTCAGCCTGCACCCCAGCACCCCAGAGGGTGCTGTGGGAGGAGGGGGAGCCCCAGGCCTCAGACACGGGGGTGGGGGTGGCCTGTAAGGGCTTCTTCATATGCCTCCAGGGAAAGTCTTGCGGGACCGCAAAGAAACACAGAAGGAAGGTTCCAGTTCCAGTTCCAGCTGCTACCGACCAGTGGGGTGACTTTGGGGAAAGCGCTGGAGCATGCTGGGCTTCTGTTCTCAACGGGACGAGTACTGACAGGTTCTAGGTCCTGCTGAATCCTCAGACTCCTGACTCCCGGCCTGTGAGAGGGACTGGGCGGCACGAGGGGCCCAGGCGGGAGCAGCAGCTCGATGCAGTTATCAGCCCCTTCGAGCTGCAAAGAAGCGATCCATCGGGTCAAGGCTGCAGCCCGGAGCCAGGGACCTCAGTGTGGACACAGCCCTCTGGTTGCAGCCCTGCTGCTGTCCTGGCCTCCGGCTCCACAGGGACAGAACACTCCCACTTGTCTTGCCAGTGGCCCCAGAGCCAGCTCTGTGAGTCAAAGGATATTAATGTGTCCATCGTGGCTCCCGGAGTAGATATAGGACTTGCCACCGTTTTTGTGCACTGTCAGACACTGGATGGATTTGCTGTGACCCTGCACAGGAGAGGACGGAGCAGGTGAGCGGAGAATACGCCATCCTGCCTCTGCCACCTGCCAGCCGCCCTCCACTGACTGCCCCCCTGGGGGACAACTAGGCACAAGGCCCTCCACACCACGGCGCCTGTCTGTGCCAACACCCTGAAGCCCCGTGTGCCCGAAAACCCCCTATGTGACCCGCGGCCAGCTCTTCCTCAGCTGACCGTCCATCTGGCAAAACCTCGTCACGCAGCCCTTCCCTCCCAGGACCCAACCTCAACCCCAGCCAAGTGAGCCCTGGTCCCAAGCTGAGCCCCCGTGGACGGGAAGCAGCAGTGAGCAGGATCAGCCCAGGGGGGTCCATCGCTCACAGAGGCAGGTGGGCACACATCTGGGCCCTGCAGGGACCCAGATGGTCCCAGGACCCAGGGAGACCTCCTAGCCACTCAGAGACCCAGACAGTCCCGGGTTCTACTGTCTGTTCTCTCCCCAAACTGGAACGTACAACCCAAGAATCGACTCCTAGCTTGTGAAGCAGCTTATTCTCTCCCAACACGCCCCTCCCCACCCAAGCTGTTGGCGGGCCCTGACCCCCAAAACCTCCCTCACTGGCAACGTGGGGGGCACAGACGTTTCCTCTGTAGCCAGTCCCTCGCTACTAGGGAACACGTAACCTCACTATAACTGCTCCTGGGGGCCGGGGTGGGTGGGTCTCTGTCTGGTCTTTCTCAGCAATGCTCTGTGGCCAGGTGGCACAATTCTGCACAGGCCTCATCCCAGGAGCTTCCCGAGCAATCTGTAGGTTCCGCCTATTGCCACACCATGGCAAAAAGCTTCCAAGAAAGGTAACACAGTTCCAGGGGACACAGTGGGTCCTTTCCACCTCTTGTCCCCTTCTAGGACAGAGTCCCGCCAGCCCTGATACTTAAAGCGTGGTCCTCAGACCAGATCAGCCCCACTGGGCATCCCCCCTGCACATCCTGACTCAGGACCTGCACCTGCCCTGCCTGGGGCCACAGCATTCCCCAGGCACTTGTGAGTTAACACGTGCCCCGCAGGTGTCTAGACGGACCCAGCCACCGTGTTTGCCTCTCACGGACCTTCTAGCTTGAGAACTGCTGCTCCAGATACACAGCAAATGCCCGTGGGTGTCAGGGGTACCAACAGATAGAGCCATCCCTACAGGTTCTGACCAAATCCCTCTGAGGCCAGTCCAGTTCCAAGGCCTCCTGGTCCTCCTTCAGGGTCTCCAGGGATCCAGCCCTCTTTCAATCTCCATGAGCAGGAGAGCTGAGAACTGCTATTCCAACTCCGGCTGTCTCTGGGGCACCCTCATGTGGCTCAGATGCCTCTGCAGCGCGAGATCAGCATCAAGGACCCCTTGGGAGTCACGCACATGCTGTGGTGGGAACGGGAACGGGAAGGACTTTCTGACTGCTGACTGTAAAAGCCTGCAAGATTCCGCGACCTGGCCTGGGAGGAACAGAAGCCCAGCTTGTAGTTTCCGTGCTTTCAGTGGCCAGTGGGAAACTGCTCTTCTGGGCCCAAGTGGGCTGACAACAACGCCTGAACCTCTCAAGGAATCTCTCCCCATCCCATCTAGAGAGAGGCCCAGACAAGTGACTGTGTCGTGCATGCCCCCCGGCTCTGTGCCAGGCTGTACACCTGCACAATACAGGCACTGAGCCAGCTAGGGGCCCATCAAGGAGGAGGCCGCAATGCCCCGTGCTTAGGTCCAAGCCGGGGGAAGCATGACAGCAGGCATGGAACCCAAAGTGAGACAGATACTGCCAGGTTACCACATCAATCCTCTTCAAGCTCATCAAGCCACATCCCCTTCTGAATGAGACACAGCAGTTCCCACCTCGGGCAACTGTCTCCATCAACTCCAGGCAGAAGCAGTGTCTACAGGGACTGGCACGAGAGCCAGCCCTGTCTTCAGGGACCTCCTAGGTCCTCGCTGGGCTGCTGGCTTCCTGAGGTATCAAGACCACTAGGGCTGATGCAGGGAGAAGGCATGCTCCCCCATCCCCGAAGCAGGAGTCCCCAGGGCAGACCCTGGGCACCAGCCGCCCTGAGGAAGCCCTCCAGGTGACAGGACGGCAGCTGGGCTGGGATCTGACCACCTCTCATCACTCGTGGCTGCACAAACTCCTGGCCCACCACTCAAGGCCTCTGAACCTCAGGATCTCCCTGTTTCTCCAAACTTGTTCCTTCCCATGTGCCTTTCCTCCTCGAACCATGTAACACTCCAGGCCTCCTCACACTCCATCCCACGTTCAAATGAGACACAGTGCCCAGGTCCAGTCCCCAGGCCTCCCGGCCGTCCCTTAGGCTCTCTGCTGGTCCTCCATGTCTGTGGTGATGCTCTTGGAGCTCCATGCATTCCGGCTGTCAGCTCCTACCTGAAGGAGGCTATTCACCCCAGAACACAGGGACTCCTGACAGCAGGGGGAGGGGCATTGTCCGCAGACCCAAGGCCCTGAACCCCCAGTGCTTCTAGAAGCTTAAGGGGAGCTCGGCACCAGCCTTCCACTTCTGCTAAACACACACCCCAAAGCAACTAGTCTCCTGCCATTGACCAAACCCCCAAGGTGGGTCCCCATCTCGGCCTCCCGCAGACTCTCCCTTTTCCTCGCTGGGCACACAGCCCTTTCCACCACCCCACAGGCTGCCGGCGCAGCCTTACCTTGATGACCCGCAGGGGTTTGCTGGGGTTGTTTTTGTCTAGGTAGTTGATGTACCCAGACAGGGAGATGCTGAGGAGGTGGTCCTTCTGCCACAAGCAGCCCAGCTGCTGGTCCAGAACGGTGGAGCCCATTGTAAACGTATTGACGACAGAGTTCACACTGACATCCCAAATCTTCGAGGTTTTGTCTCCGGAAGCAGAAAGCAAATGGGTGCTATCAGGGCTCCAACTGATCTACTCAAATGAAACAGCGGGCCAGGTATCAGAGAACACAGAGTGGGAAGGGGCCTCAGAAAGCAGCCTGCCCAAAGCCCCCATTTCTGAGCAGGGAGAAGCCACGGCTGGGGGGACCAGATATCCAGGCCCCTGCTCCAGCCACTGGCTTCTCCAAGCTACGACACCCCTTCTGTGTGATCCTGAAGCTCTCCACTTCATGGTTCTAACTTCAAGTTGTGTACTGACCACTGCACTCATGGACACGGCCCCACAACGGTCGCTGACACAGTCACACACCACGGATCCATACTCACAGCGTAAATGCCTCCGTCATGAGCCTTGCCACCTCCCAGGGCACACACTTTCTCTCCCGTCTTTCCATCGTAGATGTAGATCTTTCAAAGAATAACACACACGTGGGTCACAGGTGGGAGGACGCGCTCACCAGCTGGCACGCAAAATGAGCTCTTCCCCGTCCCTGCTCTACCGTCAAGAGCTTGCTACTGTGACTCTTAAAAAAGGAATCTGAAAAACGTGCTAAACGGGGGAGTTTCCAGCTCCATTTAAAAGGAGAGAGATGGGAACAGGGGGTGGGGGGGTACGCACCAAGCTGTGATGACGCAGCCTGGGAACTGAGCGCCTTCCAGGAATGGGATGGAGGGAAAGAGCTAGTTCCCCCTGGCAAGACTGGCTTTGGGAGGCTAGCCTACCTTAAGAGCTGGGAAGTGATCAAATGAGCCCCCACCGCCCCCAGGCCCCGGCCCTCACCTGCCCATCGGCGCTGGCTGTAGCAAATCTGTTCCCATCAGGAGAGAATCGCACACAGTTGACAAAGCGGCTGTGGTCCTGCAGGAAAGAGCACAATTATCCACCTGATGACAGGAGGTTCTGGAAAGTTCTCTATGAAACACAGTCTGCTTCAAACCTCTGCTCCAGCTGCCAGTGTGAATGGTCAGCCCACAGGAAGACCTCGGCCCTTAAACAGAATACTCCCGAAGTAGCTCCTGACTCACCAGGAGGTCTGCAGGAGGACTCACCAGCCCGCCTGCCTTGGCCCAGGCCCATCTGCCCAGGCCATCCCCTGCTAGACCTCCCAACCCCATGCTCGGTGGGATGCGTGAGTTCCCCTCACCCTCTATCTGCAGAGCAGAAAAACCCCTGACAGGGCCGGCTCTCTTCCCTCAGGGCCCCAGAGGTAGCTCAAGTCCAGAACCCTAGGACTCTTCCCCGAGTCTCCAGGGCTAAGCACACAGCAGGTACTGGGAAGGGTTGGGATGGAGCGGAGTTAACAACTGAGCTTTTAAAGAAATTAAAGTATGGTCTTGCACTTCCAGGGACTAAGACTCCAGATGACCTCCAGGGATGATTTCCTTTCCTAAAGATTCATTCTCTCCTCCATCGAGGGTCTGCATAAGAAAACATCCTCTAAACGTCCCATGCCCCATGCCCACTCCCCTACCTTCAAGAAACACCCCTTCACTGAACTTAATATTAGCTCTTCTCAAAGCAGGGAGGATTAAGGGCTCCTGGGGCATAAACACCTAACCACCCATCACTTGCCCCACAGCATCCCGAGGCCAAGCACAAGTCCACTTAAGTCAGGAGCCTCTCGTGCGAAGGCTCTATGTGTGTCTGTCATGCGAGGGGCTGAATCGGGCTGCAACTGTGCCACCTGTGAATGGAAACCTCAGGAAAGAGGGTCTATGCGGATGCAGTCGAGGTACGATGAGGTCCTTAGGGCGGCCCCACTACAGTGACTGGTGGACTGTGATGAGGGAGACTGGGACAGACAGACAGCGGGTGGGGGAAGAGCCCGTGAAGATGTAGGCAGACTGGGAGGGTGCCCCTTGGGCCAACGCAGTCGGGGGAACACCAGCCTGCGGACATGGGGAGGTCAGGCTCTGGCTTTTGGAACCGAGAATAAACCCATGCTGAACCCCTGGCTTGTCGTCCCTTGTTACGGCAGCCCAGGAACAGGCACGGGGCAGACCGTCTGTGACACTCCCAGAGGAAGAGCCCTTCAAGGACACCGTGCTTACTGCACTGGCGAAGCAGCTCAGGCGAAGAAGGAGAAATCGGGGCCAGGATCCTGAGGAGGGAAGCCACAGGCCAGGACCAGAGGAATCCACGTGTCTGCAAAGTCCACCTGGGAGGCTGAGCAGAGGAGTCGCCCCTCAGTGGGGTTTCCCTGCTGCAGGCAGCTTCGTCCCTCGGAGCCAGGAGACTGCGATCTCTGCCAGAGGACACTTCCAGGCCAGGCCCCTCAAGCCCCACGAGCCTCGGTCCAGAGCTGGAGCATGGAGCCAGCCTGGCATGCTGCTCTTCTTCAGCAATCCCACCGCTCCCCTCAGCTGACAAGGCCAGAAGCAGCCAGCACTTCCTCTCCCTCAGGGGGTTCCCCCCGCAGGGCTGGAGACAGGAAAGCCTGAGCCTTCCGAGTGCAGTGACACTGGTGAGCCACCCAAGCTGGCTTGCCTTCCTATCTCTTTTCGGCAAGCACAATCATGGGGCTGCAACTTGGCTCTGACTCAAGAGCCTGTCCTCTGGGGCATCATCACCGGTGCCCGTGACGGAGGTATGACGGGCTCACGGCTTCAGCCTCAACTTGGCCCTGGTTCTGGGACCACCGGGAGCCAGTTCCCACTACTAACATGCCACCCACCTCACTCCCGGGGCCCAGTCTCAGCCAGGTCAGGCCTGCAGGGTGACAAGGCCATGGCCGGGTTTACAGTGTGCGCTCATCTGGGTGAGGGCTGACTTTCCCTGCTCCCAGGTCTGGCCTCCGTGTTTTAGAGCAGGGGCAATCTGCCAAGCCGAACCGCAGTGGAAGGAGTCTGCTTCCCAAGCCGGGATCTCTCAAGCCCTCCTGGGTGCTTCTGCCTCCCTCATGGCCACCTGTCACTCACCACCTTACCACCGCAAGGGCCTTGGGGAACCTCCAAACCCCTCCGAGGAGACAACCAGGCCCAGAGAGAACCTGGGGCTCTGGTTTCTCTTCCAGATCTCTAGGCTTGGCTGCACTGGCTCTAGGGAGCACCTGGGTCAGATCTTCCCTCCCCAGGCCAAATGCCACCATGGTGCCATCCGCCCAGGGCTGTGAGGGAGCCACCTGGGCTTCCCAAGAACTTGGATGCCAAAAGAGGGCACAAGAAACGGAATGAACCCCGGCTACAGGGGTCACTACAGCACAATGCCGGCCCCCTTCACCGGGCATAAGGAATATGCCATGAGATAGGCGGCTGGCCACCACTCAGTTCCACCTCACAACGAACTCCAGTTTCGCTGCTTCCCTGAGAGAACAGGAACGTCCCAAGATCCCAAGCCCAGCTCACAGAAGTCAGGATGCCCTCCTGAAGGGCAGCACCAAACACTCAGCTGAATACCTGCACATGTCCACCCAGTGGCCCGAGCGATCCCATTATGAGGCTGCTGCCTCTCCTCAGAAGGGCCCTCTGCCCTGGCCGCCATCTCTCGGGAATCCGACTCCTTACCGCATTCAGCATCTCTGATGGGAAGGGGACATCACACACAATGGGCTCATAGCCCTCCTCCCTGAAAGAATGCTGCACATCACTCCCCAGGCCCTGGAACAAGGCAAGCTTGTGGGAAAGCCTGGGTTTAGTGAGGGCCAGAAACAGCGGATGCCCCCAGAGAACCAGGCACTGTGTGAACCAAGGCCTTTGGCTTTAGAAACTCCTGTCAGCTTTTCCTGCAGCTTGAGCCAAGAGTCCAAATGAGTAGGAAACTGATGTCTACTCCCGAAATAGCCCACGTTAAGGAAAACAGCAGTGAATGGCTCATTAACCAAAAAAGTGAGGGTTAAAAATAGCCTGTTCCACAGGGAGATGAGGCCTGAGTACAAAGGAAGGGGTCTGGGGAAACATCAAGGCGGGGAGGGGTATGGGAGGGGTATGGGGAGGGCTCACACACCTGCGGGGCTTCCTCCTTCCTCCGGCTGCTCAACCCAGCCACCACCTATTGGTCTGGGGCTTACAGCCCCTGGCCCTCCCCTCCCCACGCTCCCTGGAGGAGACACAGCACCATCCCGCAGGCCTAGGTCCCTTAGGCCGTTCCCTGACGTGGAAGGCCCTCGGTGTCCAATCGACACCTGTCCGCCCATTAATCACAGCCAACTCTCAGTGGTGCCCTGTGTCAGCGGATCCTCCCAAGAATCCCCAGTCATTATCCCTCCCCCATCATCACCCCCACTTGACACTGAGAAGAGCTGTGAAGCCATTAGTTAATAAGTAACATACCTGAGCCCCCGTCACCGACAGGGTCAGAGCACCACGGGGCTCTGTGGCTTGACTCCAGCGAGCACAGGCAGACGAGCTGGTCAGCTCAGGTGTCCCCTCTGGGAGCCCTCCCTGGTTTCACTGGCCCCAGCTGTCCCCAGAACATACAACTGCTACTAACTCTCACAGCACAGTGCCCTGCCCACCTGTCCTGCTCTCTGTCATGATCTCATGGAGGGAGAAACAGGCTCAGATGCCTGGGCCCACCTCTTCATCCTCCCTCAGCACACAGCATGCACCTTTAGTCAGTGCTCTGAAAGTGGGTTTCCGTCCTCAACTGCAACACTGCCTCACTCCTTCAGTCGACCGCCCCCTCCACTCCTGGCCTCCTCTCCCTCTGGGAAGTCTCCCCTGTCCGGTGCTTGGAGGGGGAGCAGCACACCCTCTGCCTGCTTCAGCGTGGCTGAGACACAAAAGTGATCCCCATCCTCTGCCTGCTTCTCCTGCCACCTGGACAGACTGGCTCAGTGATCACTTTCCTCTGCAGAAAGAGGACCAGAGGAAGGGGCAGAAGGCTTGTCTGGCCACCGCCCCACCATCAGCCACAGCCCGTGCAGGAGCAGACCAGGAAGGAAATGGGGGGAAGGAGACCTATCCCGCTGACTCCCATCGTGACCAGGACTAACGCACCCACAGCTCTCTGAACAGCGAGACCGGCAGATAGGAGGACAGAAGGCAGAACGGCTAAGGACAAGGCAGCGCATTCTGCAGGCCCAGGCCAGAGCCTGTCCAAAGCAGGCACCTGACACACACTGAAGGCCTGACACCGGGTGTTCTGCCCTGCTTAAGAGTCAGGAAACAGGAAAAACACCCCCCAGAAAATCCTGCATAGCAGAGGTCCAATTTTACTTAACTGCCTTGAAAGGCAATGCCTCTAATAATAGCCAAGACACATTTCTAGCTCAACTCACCTCCACTGTGCCAAAGGAAGCGGGACACCCCATCCCCCCAGCTCGGCGCCGCCTATGATAGGTGAGACCACAGGTGGCTGGAGAAAGCTGCTCCTAGAGCAGCTGACCATGCTGCACAGCACGCCCGGCTGGAGAGGAGAGACGAGGTGTCCCCTCTGCCACAGGTGGACTATGTCCGCCCTCAGAAGCTCAGGCAGGAAGTTTCCACTTCCAGATCACACAACCACAGCCTGGACAAGCAGGCTTGGGCCTCATGAGTGCCTCCTAAGCAACCACTGAGTTAGACAAAGTAACCTACAGACCACCACACCTAGCTGCAGGATAGGCTGAGGACATAGTCCTCCTGGGTGCCTGCTCTGGAAAGGGAGTCTGTGGCTGTCCCCGATGGAAAAGGGCAAGGCCAGAAAGGTGTTGAACCTTGCCCAACGTGCCTGTGGGTTGCTAGTCGTGCCTTGGTCACAGGGACATGCTCGGCAGGAAGAAATTCCTGCTGCAGAAGCAGGAGGAGGCGAGGGCACACTTGCCCTTTCTTTCTTGGGTCCTCCAAGGGAACCTCAACCTTTGCCACAGAAAGCCAGCACGAAGCAGAAACAGAGAAGCTGCAAGCCTCCGTCCCACAGCCGGTCCCCTACAATCCTGGGATGTCATCTGCCCAAGGTGGCCCATGGTCTCTGAAATGAGGGGGGGGCAGAGCCTATTCCAGTGCTGGTTCCTTCACCTCATCTTTCTGCAGCTTCTGGAGCCCATCGCAGGTCCAGGCAAAGGAAAACTCACACTGACCTGACAGCCCGAGGGCCTGGCTGGCTCCGGATGAAGTGGGTCCTTACTCAGCTCCCCAGGGGCAAGGAGTCTACACTTACTGTACAACATGAGCGGCCGGTTTACACAGATGAGCTCAAGAACCAAAGAGAAAAGCTACCCAGCACCCCCATGTAGGGCAGCAGGATGGCCGGGGAGGGCTGACCTGAGCATGTTCAGGCACTCTGGCTTATCCGAAACCCTGCCCTCACCTCCCCTTGGGCACACGCACCACCAGCATCTTATTCTAGCACTTACTGAAATGGAGACACAACTTGGTCTTTCTCACGGCAGCAACTTGAGCTCAACCCCTCTGTGCTCCTGACATGCTCAGTCCTCATCCCACAGCCTCAGACATGGTGCAGAGGGAGAGACGGGGAGAAGCTGGAGCCTAGCAGGGCAGGCAGCCAGCCATTAATGGCAGATGCACTTTGGGGCTCTGAGGTTCCAGGGGAGATGCACATGCCTAAGTCAGACTGATCTACACAGCTGTCAACACTTGACGGGTCATTTTGGGTGGGTGTAGGGCCCCGAACACTTTTCTCCCCATCCTTCATTTGTTGGCCACCTGTGCCTGTCTGGAGCACCCAAAGATCTCTTCGTGGACACTCCGATCTGATGTTCACCAGCATCTTACATCCTCCCATAGGAGAATGGCCATCACCATCCTGTCTCCCAAGGGGACCGAGCCACACCACTGGCCCATCCAACGGTCACAGAGCCAGCCAGCTGTGGTGCTGGGCTGCCATCCAATGTCCTCCATTCCTGATCTGCAGCCAGGGCCAGAAGCAGGACCCATGGGTGATAGGCTCCACAGGCAGACCTGACGACAAGCTGTGTGCCCACCCTGGACACAGGTGGCAGGGGGCAAATGTTCGTACCTGATAGCCCTGGGCTGGGGTGCAGGGGTGAGGGCTGTGTTCTCACGTTAGAAAGGAAAACAAAAAGAGAAAGATTATTCCAGCCAAGTCCCCAGGTGAACAGAGGGAAGGCTGGCAGAGTGCTGAAATCACAGCTTCGGGCTGCCTGGGCGCAAACCCGGCTCTGCTGACTGGCCGCTGCGATGCTCCTGGCTGGGTTTAATCTATATCTGCAAAGGAGAAGTGACCCTTCCTGGGGCAGGGAGAGGAGCCTCACTGGCCCACAGCCCAGATCACATCCAAGTGACATCAAACAGTAGGGAGGAGGAGGGGGACTTGGAGATAGGGACAGCTTCACTGAGATAGGCAAAGACAGCGTCCTGTTGCCACAGAAACCCATCCGCACCTCCTTTCTCTCCTGGGTGCAAGGCACGAAGTTTAGCTATCTGACTCATCCCACGGAACCTTGATCTGCACTTAGTGAACACTGACCTTGAACACAGCCTTTGACAAAACCCCCACCACCTACCAACTGGGCAGCAGCCACAGGAGACGGCCACAAGAACTGCTGCAAAAGGAGCTCTAAGCTGCACACCCCGAGGGGCTTCCCACGCAGCCGCCTGGCCCCACTCAGGGGCCCTGGGGGCAGAACAGAGTCCGTTTCACCAGCAGGGAAGCCCTGCAGAGCTCTTCAATCCCCGAGCCAAGATCTGCACTGGAAATTCTGCCCACTGCCTGAGTACTACCCCATGGGGACCTGCTGAGGAAGTGGCATCGTCCTTTCCAGCCACACCCTGCCTGGTTTATGAGTCACTGTGTTCAGTCATCAAAGTAAACAGTGGTCCTGCGCGGAGCCTCTTGAAGGACATTCTCTCATTTAATCCTCGATGAGGTAGGACTGAGAACTGCTCTGGACCCGTGGGCAGCTGTGCAGTTAAGTTCATGGTTAAAATGCACTATTATTGATACCCCCACATCCACCTTGCAGATAGGAAAAGTGAGGCTGAGGTTCAGACCCCTGTCCCAACCAGGGAGCAGGAGCAGAGCTGGGACACTCTGCTAAGGTGTTTCGACATGTGTCTTCCACAGGCAAATCTAATTCTCATCGAGTGTCACATTCCAGCTGTGACCCTGCCCTCATCATCTCACCAGAGGAGACGAATCTGGTGTCCCTGGAAGCTCACCAGCAGGTCTTGAGTTGGCAGAACCAGAGTCAAGCCTGGGCCACCCCTTTCTGACAAAGCTCCTCTAGGCCAGGATGCTCCCCTGGTCACAGGCCATCAGAGATCCGCTCATTCAACCCACAACCCCAGAAACACACACATCTCCTAGGGCGGGTCCCTCCTTGCCAGAAGCAGCCCTTCCGGCCTGAGGGCAGGGCCACGTCGGCCTGGGGCTAGTGTGCTGTCCCACCATCACAGGACGTTCCCCTGCAAACCCCACTTTTGTCTATACACCACAGCATAAACGGCACGTGCTCACAACCCCGCAGGTCTAGACTGCTGGTTTCACGTGCAAACCATCCCAGGAGGGGATCCCAGGAGGACTTCCACTTACGCCAATTGTGAACTTGAACTTGAATGGTGGCCCCTCAAAGAATGCGGCACAGTTATCGTCACTGCCCGTGGCCAGCCGGTAGGGTCTGCTCTGCTTGATGTCCACACTGTTGATGACTTTGTTGTGTCCCGTGATCTCGCCCACGGAAGAGCCACTGTCCCACAGGAAGACAGCTCCAAACCTTCACCCAGAGAGTCACATGAAGAAAACAATCAACCCTGGGGACAGTTGATGAGATGTGGGCAGCTGCAAGGCTAGTACGTGGGGTGGTACAGCGCGGGGATGCTCACAGCCACACCTTCACGCACATTCGCGAAAGGAGCCAACACCGGAGACACCGTGGTTTTGGCTCTGTGCGGTGCTGGTCAAAGAATCCGGGAATAAATGGCTCTGGGAAGGGACTGGATGCCTGCATCTGTATGACCCAGGGCCAACAAGTCTCCCATGTGGAAGGTCCCTTAGAAACACCTGCTGGGGAACAGCCCTGTGGCTTCTCGGTTTCCTAGTGGCTGTACTGGGCAGGACCAAGGTAATCAGCAGCCACCACCCCCTACCAGAAAGGAGACGATGCCCTACTCTCAGCTGGCATCTGGTAAGTACATGCTGCAGGGGCTCCTCCTTGTGTCTGGAGGCAAACTGAATTCTTAAGACCAACAGGATGACCTGAAAAACTGGCAGAACTAACCCCTTCCAGAACATGCATTAAAAATAGCCTCTGAGTAAGGGAGACAAGATGTGCGCCTGCCATGTCCGAGTGCCTGAAGCCGCCGTGGCGCCCTGGAGGGAAGCCTGCGCTGCGACACACCTACCCCGTCTCCACCGGGCCCCTCTTCCTTCGGAAGGTCACCACCTTTGGTGACGTACCCAGCTTCCCTGCAGCCAGGTATGGCTGCTGGCATTCGGGGAGGGATCCCAACAGAGATTGGAGCTCCCTTTCCCCTCCTCATTTCCTGCTGCCTAGAGTGTGGGCACGACAGCTGGCGCTCCAGGTGAGGGGCTGAGGATGTCAGAGACAGAAAGAGAAGGGCCTGGCCCCATGGGGCCTCAATACACACTGGTCCAAGCTGGCCCAGAGGTCACCACTCCCCTCCCAGCTGCAGGACCCACAAAGAGAGCAAAGCCAAGACACACGGGCAGGGAGGCGCCAAGGCCAGAGACTCACTTCTCCCTTCCTTCCCCGACCACTGCGATCCTCTTACTGTCTTCTGTCCAAGCAATGTCCTTGATCTTCCCAGCGAAAGGCTGATACTCATACTTTAAGAGGTGCTCCTTCTGCGTGGTATCCCAGATCCTCAGCTTTCCAGATACATCTGTGGGCACAAAGGGTGGCGACAGCCGTGATCATCGCTGGGCCTAGGTGATGTGGGCACGAGGCGTGCCCGTCCAGTGGGGCCCGGGGGCTCCACTGCCCCAGGCTGCATTTCAAGTGAGCACAATGGGCCACTGGCCCGTCAGAATATGCGGCATGTGAGGCCCACTACTGGGTCCCTGCAGCTCACCAGCCACTCCCTGGACAATAAGCCCTGTGTGGGCACCAGAGCACTGAGGCACACAGAGGCACAGCCCAAGGCGTCAGGCAGCTGTCTGGGTCTGATTCTAGTCTCCTCGCAGGGGCATCTAAATAGTCTAGGGGGATCGGGCACCTTTCTGAACGCTTGATACTCAGTTTCTTCGTTTGCAAAATGGGCCAAGAATAGTGACAGCCGCCTCTCCCGAACAGTGGCTGTGCTAACGGAGTGGAGCTGTGTGCGGCTGGTGCATGCCGGGACTTGCCTGCGGCCCCCGCCTGGGCTCCATTCCAGCTACTCGCCTGCATCCCCCGCATCTACAGTGACGCACCCCCCGACGGCCCAGACGCGTGAGGTGAGCGCAGGAGCCTTGTGGGAGGCGTGCAAGGTGGGTGCAGGCAGGCAGAGTGGTGCTCCAGACAGAAAGCCACGCCTCTCCTCGGGGATGAGTAACCAAGTGACACGGAAGCCGAGGGAGAGGCACACCCCTCCCTTCCAGGCAGGATCCCGTCACCAAGATCTAAGACTGATCCCCACACAGCCCTTTCCAAAAGAGCACCAAATTCCCAAATTAGCACGAAGATGGAGGATTTTACACTAACTCCTCAGGCTTAAATCCTCGGCCCAGATTGGGCTTGGTGGGGGGGCAGTCTTCCCAGGAGGGAGGCTCCGGGGCTTCCTAGGGTCCCCAGGCCCCTTTAGCACGTCACAGAGACCCTCCCACTGCTCTGTGAGCACAGGTCCTGTCCTCTAGCTCAGGGCACAGGGCTGAGGTAGGTGAAGGCTTCCTGGGGCTCTGAGGGCATCAAACAACACCCTACACCTACAGCTGCGCCGACCAGAGAGGGAGGACAGGGCCACCTCGGGGGGGGGGGGGGGCTACTGAGAAGTGACGCGAATCAGCACGTGGAAAATCTAAGACAAGCGCTGGATAAACAGCAGGCGCCCTATGCAAGCCGGTCATCACTAGCCAGCGAGGAACTAAAGGCCACCAGAGACGCTGCCTCATGAGCAAACAGCTGGGCCCACAGTCCGCAGGACAGACAAGGGAAGACTCGTTGCCATGTGAAGAGCACGACCTGAGGGGCCCTGGGGGTGCTGGGCCTCTCTGGGTCAGGTCCAGGAAGGCTGCCTGGACGAGGGCAGTTGCAAAGATGACCTGGAACTAGTTCAGTCTCTAGTGAACAGGCCAGCAGGAAAGGAAAGAGGCAGAGGCTGGAATACCAGGAGCAGAGCACTGTGTGTGCAAGAAGGACACGTGTGCACACAGTATCACACGTACGCTCACGCACACACCAAGCCATATTGTCAGCTGGGCTCAGGCCGGTCCAGGTGGCTCTAAAGTCCGGCCCCATCAGCGTCTATAGCTCAGGCTGATCATATCCCACCTTCTTGGCCAGGATGGAGCCGGCCACCCCCTTCCTGCTCCCAGGTGGGTGCGGGACACTCAGACTCCTCTCTGGGCTGGGAACCAGCTATTTTTCCCATGGCCTCCCCACCAGACCCTCCACCTCCTGCGCGGGTGGGCCCTGCTTGTCTATTTAATCCTCCTTTTGTTTCTCCTGAGGAGAGCTGACAATGTCACATTACTTTCAGGTGTACAACCCAGTGACCTGACAAGTTCCTAAGTTACGCTATGCACAGCACGGGGGTAACCACTATCCGTCCTGACATCACTACTACTACTACATCACTACTACTACATCTGCGACTGCGTTCCCTGGAAAGTGCCCTTCTTTCCCCCGACTCACTCATTCCACACCTAGGAGCCTGTGTATCCCATTGCTCCCATCCCCGCCCCTCCCCTCTGGCAACCATTGTGTGTTCTCTATATTTATAGAGTCTGATACTGCTTTTGTTTATCTTTTTTCCCCCTAGATTCCACTCTTAAGTGGAATCATATGGCCTTTGTCTTTCTCAGGCTATTTGACTTACTCTAACATCCTCTTGGGCCTCCGTGGGGTCTCAGATGGCATGGGTTCATCCTTTTTTACGACCGCATCGTGATTCCATTGTATATGTGCACCACGTTTTCTGTATCTGTTGCTCTATTGAGGGACGCTTAGGTTGCTTCCATACATTTAGTTCTTTTTGGGAAGCAGCTAGAGCCAGGAAGAGAAAGTGGGGCTTGGGGACCAGGCGCTTGGGCCCCACTGACAAGGGCAGCCCCTGTGCAGCCAGAAGATCTGATCGGGTGTCCATGGGTGCCGAGCCCTGTGCTGAGTGCTGGGGACACAACAAAGACACCTGCTCAGGGGCAGAGGACACCTGCAAGAAGCCAGAGATGATGGGGAGAGAGTTCCTTCTGTCCCCTCACTGGGAAGGCATCTCCCCCTCCAGATAACACGCTACACCAAGGGGAGCAGTCTGAGCCTGCACTCTGCCCCCACTCCCCAGCAGCTTAGCAACATGGGTGGCAACAGGGAATGAGGTGGGTCTTCCAGTGCCCACGGAGGCCTCTGCTCGCCAGCTCCGCAGCCTGGCCTCTCTTCCTATGTTCCTCACCTGAGCAACCCTCCTGTTCTCTTCTCCTCTGGGCAGAGGCCCCTCTCCTAGGAAGCCTGACTCTCTGTGGCCTGGGTGCACTGCTCTGAGGGCAGCCTGGGATCCAGAGCCCTGGTGGGTACCCAAGGGACGGAACACAGAGCATAGACTAGCGGCATCAAAATTACCCAAGGAAGACACAGCTAGAAAAAGGGAACTGGGTTTGCCCTGGGAATGGTTCTGAACAAGAAAACATGACACCATGGGCCATGTCAACCCAAGGGCAGACTGACCATTTTGCTCAGGGCTGGGGATCCAGTCTCTGGCATGAGCTCCTTACACAGTAGGCTTTCCAGAAGGCTCATTTAGTGGACACAGACCATTCAGACTCACAGAAACCGATAGGTCCCACAGAGGGCTGGAACCCCATCTGGGAGCAAGCCACAGGCCTCCTGAGGTACTGGGATCCCTGCCCTAATGTGGGGAACTCCAGGTACCAGGTAACCCACTTAGCCAGAGAGCAAAGCCCTTTCTCAGCCTCCCTCTCTCTCCCTCCCAACTATGTACAACCATACTATTTTTAGCCCAGCACCTAATCTCTGCAATGAAGGTTTCCTTCTCTTCACTCGATTCAAGGGACCAGCTCGCTAGAAAAGTAAATGTGATCTCTGCCCAAAAGCACCTAGATCTGCATGTAGCCCAGACCTCCCTCAGTTCCTCCACCAAATCAGGGCGCCTTTATGAGCAGAACGTCCAACTGACCCTTTATTTATGTGGACTGTCCTTCGCAACGGTCTCTGTGCCGGGCTTCCTCATTGATTTAGCACTAGGATCTGAAGAGCCCAGACTTCTGGCTGGTGGAGGGCCCTGCCCCGGGACGTGGACTGCAGGCCTGGGCTCCCACGTGCTTCAGCAGCTGGACCTGCAGCTCCACACGCCAGGGTGAGGAAGCCGTGCCAAGCAGGCAGCGGGGCCCTCGCCAACCATACTCCTCTTCTGAGAAGACATGATTTTAAAAGGGTCACATCTTGGGGCTTTCAAGGAAAAGGTATTTTGCTGGCAAGCAGGGCTGGCCAAAAAAAAAAAAAAAAAAAATCACACGGCTAAAATAAACCAAGGCATATAAATTAGAGCAAGTTTTATAGATCGAGTTGGAGGGAGTCTAAACACCAACATCGTTAAGTGCCCACGTTGGGCCAGACTCCTGGCCAAGCCCTTCACACACAAGCCTGACTGCCGGCTTTAGCCATCAGCCAAGCGCGCCTGTCTCTCTGGTGTGTCCCAGGTTTAGTGGCAGACACCTCGGTCACAGGCTATCAGGAGGCCACCAGCATAAGACGGTCCTTGGCATTGCACACACACTGCGGCTCAGGATTCTGTCTGGCTTCTCGGAGAGCAAACCAAGGCCCAGGAAGGTAGCTATTCCAAGCAGGCTGCACAGTGAGTAAGGGACGAACCGTGCAGGGACAGGTCCCCACACGCCTCCCACGCAGGGGCGGAGAGCAGCGCAGACCAGCCATGGGGCATGTGAACCCCAGCCCTTCTCTTTTGCCCAGCAATCTGTTCCTCTCTGCTGCTCTCTGGGGAGGCTGGCCAGGCCCAGGCCCACAGCAGCTCACTCACTTGGCTTTCCCTGAGGCTGGAGACAGGGCCGGGCACTGGTAAAGCAGCCAGTCACTATCTGTGAGCGTGCAAACAAGGGAATGAGTGAGTCAACGGAGGGTGTGGGAGGGAGGCGGAGCACACCCGCTGCCTCCCCTTCTCATCTGTAAATGGTGAAAGATCTGCCTCAAAGAAGTAGGTGAACAAAGCATCCACCATGGTAAAGACCCTTCTGTCCCTCCTCCCAGCCAGCCTCCTGCAGAGCCACACAAAAGCCTGGCTGAAGAGAGCAGAGGGCCTGAGCAAGCCGAGGGAAATGGAGCCTTTGCCTGAGGCCGGCACTGGCAGGGACTGGGAAAGGAGCAGCTAACGAATAAAGGTGACACAAGACAATGCTGCAACTCAGAAAACACACGCACGCACGCACATACACACACACGCGTGCACGCACAAATGAGCTCCTAAACATCGTGATACAGCTACTGCAAAGGCCTCTGGCCAATCTCACATGAGCATTTCTGCTGACCTCTGAGTTGGAACCAGCTGGAACACCGCCAGCCATGAAGTTCTGCAACGGGGCTTTTTGGTGGCTTGTACTTTCCTTGTCAGCCCCAAACGAAATTAATCAGACTGGCATCACCTGCTGCACCCCTTCCTTTACACTTCCCCTACCCCTCTTCCCACCACCCTACAGCCAGGAGTCCAGGTGGGCTGGGGAACTCCTGGGCCACACCCCCGCACCCCAGCCAGGCGCACACAAAGGTACCTCCGGAGGCGATGTAGAACCCGCTGGGTGCATACTTGGCCACCACGACCTGATGGGCGTGCTCCGTGTAGATGTCAGCAAGGGCTGGGTTCTGTGGGGAGGAGACCAGAATGAACACAAGGAACACAACAGTAGTCAATTGCTTTTCCCTCTCCCGATGAGCGGATTCAGGGGCTAAAAATAACACACGCACGAACATCTAAGTCAAAACCTCCATAAAGAAAAATCCCAGCAGTATGACTCCCTGCCCACACACCCAATGCCTGCCTGCCTGCCTTCGGGTGATAGAAATCGAAGTAGTTTTAACTCATTCTCCTTAGTCTACAGCTGTGGAAGTGGAGATGCTTGTCTTTCCTTTGCTTTTCTGCACCTGACACGGTACAAATACGTACTTGTAAGATATACTCAAGGCAAGTTTCATGGGAGAAAAGTCTACCATTCTCTCTTCCTGGTGGGGAGCTTCTCGGAGTCAGGTATGTGCTGGTCTCCCTGTTTAGAATCAGCTCTGCCCCGGATGCCAAGCAGCGGACGGCCCAAAACAGAGCCCTGGCTCTGAGCTCCAGCAGCCTGGCGGGGCGCAGCACTGGGAGCCTACCCCTGTCACAACCTTCACCGGGAAGTGTGGACTTTACCACCTGCTTCGTAGCCCAGATGGAAGGCTGGCTGGACTCACAGCGAGAACAGGGTCGGCGTCCGGGACCACTAATCGCCAAGAAGGTTCTAATGCCAGATTTACCAGAGGAAGATTGCGGCACTCCCACTTTCACACACACTCAAGCGGCCTCAGCAAACCGGAAACACATACACTGAGATGCTACCGATCTGTCTCTATGGCTGGGCTTTCTTTCTGGAGGGAATAAAGACTCGGTCATCTACTCCCCATTCCTGCTGTCAGGTTTCTATGAACCAAGCGCTCTTCAAAGAGGCCACATCCCTCTGGCTGGAGGCTGAGGACACATCAGGCTCCAGTGTGGACACTCTGCTTTCTAGAGGTGGCTGCTGCAGGAACATCTGGCCTGACGCCCAGCTGCCCCCACTGCTCTCCAACCTGACCGCAAGGTCAGAGGCCTGCAATTTTCTCAGCCTTCCGGCTACAGGATCCCCAGCCCCTGACTCTACCAGACTGAGACCAGAGAAGCTGACCCTAAATTCTAGCCCCACTCACCACCAGCTACCTCTGGCATCCCTGCTGGCGTTCCCCTGGCCGGCCAGGACCATCCCACCTGCCCTCTGATCCCTACTTACAAGGCTTAACTGCAGGGCCACTTCCTGCACGAAACCTCCTATGCCCCTTAAATAATTTACCTTGTTCCCTAAGGTACTCAGGACACACAATGCAGGTATTCCCTGCTTTTACAAAGTTTGCCACTATGCCACTTTGTTTTTCCACAAGACCTACATTAATACTGGTTTTCAGTAACCAAAAGGAAGCCACACAGGATTTTCACTTTCATGTAAAAAGGCAAAAAGCCGAAATAGCATTTAGCCCTGTTTCTGTGGTGAGATGAGCTGGTCTGGGGTAGCCGGCACTCCGGAGCAGCGAGGGGTGACTCCCAGCTTCTTCCCTGGGAGCCACACTCAGCACCTCGGTATCAAACAGCCAGAGCTCCAAGCCGTGTCTGGGAGCACCTGGGATCTCCATTTATTTCATGCATCTGTTAGCAAGACATGTCCTAAGGTATCAGAAAAGCCAGGAGAGGTGATTTGGGGGGGGGGGGTCTAAGAACACTCTATACTCTTTTTCATATAAAGTAATGGTAACTGCCTCTTTGCTTTAGGCCATTTTGGCTCACATGAGGTTTCAAAGAATGCTCTGGTTTTGGATAGTGGGGAAACCTGAAGACCTTCTTGTCATCGCTTCCAATTAGTTTTTCTGCGACCTGCTTCAAGTGCATTTATCTCTTCGGCCATCAAAGGAGTTCACAGATAGCCAGTGGTCAATAAATGTTTTTTTGGGGGGGCGGGGGTTACAAAGTCCTTTTCACCCTAAGACTTAACACTCGGCATTAATGTGATGTAGTGAGCATTTGATATACATGCTTCATAAACTGATCCATCTCGGAATAAACAATTACTAATAAAATTAGAAGGGTGTCAGGTACTCAAAACAAGATGTCATAAATGGCAGAGAGGCATACGCAAAGGTGCTTGAGATCTTTAGCCTTTTGGGAAAAGCAAATGGAAACTACAGAAAGATACCGCTCCATACCCACTAGAATCAGGAAGATCGAAGACTGATGTCACCAAATGCTGGCAAGGACGGGGGCGCAGTGTACTGGGAAGTTTCCGTGTAGCTGGTGGGAATGCAAAATGGTGGAGCTGGAAAACAGTCTGGCTGGTGATTCATGAGATTAAGCATATACTTACCACACACCAAACATGCAATCCCGCCCTTCGGTATTTACCCAAGAAACCAAAGCACACGTCCACAAAAAGATACACATACATGAAGGTTTATAGTTGCTTTACTCATTAACAGCCCAAATTAGAAAACAACCCCAATGTCTACCAACAGACACTGAAGAAACACCACCCTATATCCACAGTGGAACACGCCCGGGCAACCAAGGGGGCATACACTAACACGCCCAGCAAAACCAGTGAACCTCAAAGGCATTACGAAAAAGTCAGACACAAAAGACAACACTGGGTTGCAGGACTCCTTTCTTATGACATTCTAGAAAAGGCAAACTTAAAGGGACAGAAAGCAGACCGGTCCTTTCCAGGTGTTAGGTATGGAGGGAGCCCACCGACAGCTTAAGAGAGCCCTTCTGGAAATCACTGTGGTGGTGTTTATGGGGCTGTGAGTATCTGTCCCGTTGAGCAGCAGATAAATCTTGCTGTATCTAAACTAAGCCTCAATAAAATGAAGATGCCTGGTATCCATTAACATCTGTCGAATCCAACTCATTCCAGCCCAGATTAGTGCTTCTCATCCTAACACCCCAACATGGACAAAATCCCTTGCAAAGAAGCGGGCCAAAAGTGGTCTGTGGACAGGCCACCCACCCTGAGATCCTTTCCAGGTGTGTTTCAAGGCTGACTGAGGGGTCTTACATTCTACACGGGGGGGCACCACGAGCCCATTTTACAGATGAGAAACCATCCCATGGGCAACTGACCACCCATGCTGGCACTCATCCCCACTGGGCTCTGCTTTTAAAAGGGTGGGCATGTGAGATGAGTAAGCACTGGTCCTGGGAGAAGTTCTGCCCCTAAACATTCCTTTCCCCTAAATGGTCAGGGTGGTGAGTCCAGGGGGTGTGAAACACCCAAGGTCATCCCCAGCAGGCTCAGCTCCAGAATCCTGGGCTGGACGAGACATCTCTCTTGTCTGAACTACAAATACAACTAAGCCAGCGAGGGAGGGGGCCAAATTCTCCAAACTGAGCATAATGACTTCATCTGGGTCCGTTGCAAACTCCCCACCTCGGCTTAGTACACACAAGGAGGCTGGCTACTAGAGGCAGAAATGATAGCTCTGCCATTCCCACTGTCGTCCTGCCAGTTCAGGCTCATTCCAGATCAGCTAAGGCCACAAGGCACCAACAACCCCCCCCCATAGCTGGTGGCAGCTCCCCTCATTTGCCCTCCCTCTCCTGCTGCCTCAGGCAAGGAGAATAGGACTTGGGTGAGTAATTTATTTGGGGCAGGGCTAGGCAACAGGGGAAATGAGCCAGTGACGGGAAGAAAGCCAATTCCGGGTGCACCAAGGAATACTCCTGCTAGGGCAGGGGCTTCCCCTCCCTGGCAGCCTTGGGAGATGGTTCAGGACAGGCCTAACCCCACTGCCTCCACTCTTCTCAGACCCCCACCCCCCACACAGGACCCCCACAGGTCTGCTCTTCCAGGCTAAGGAACCGCTCCCTGGGCTGATGCCCTTATGGGGCCAAGGCCCCTTGACTCCCCAGGCCAACCTAGGGCTGTAACAGGAGCACTCCCTCCCCCTACCACCTGCAGCTCCGAGTCTGGCAGGGGGCACTCAGCAACACTGCTAGGTGAGGGGCAGAGCTCAGGGCTGTTAAGGCCCTGGCATAAGCCCCGGAAGGCTGCCCCTACACCTGGGAGGTCAGGGAGTCTCACAGAAGACATGAGAGGACACAAAGGCACAGATTTGAGGAAAGACACGGGCACGGAAGGCCTACCATGTGCCTTGCAGACCCTGCAAACACCTGTAGGGACAGCAAGGTGGGGGCGCTCTGGCCACAGTGGGAGCCAGACGACAGGAGGCACCTTGGCCCAACCTGAGGAGGCCCTCTCCCCTGCAGACTACATACCACCCAGCCTCCCACCTGCACAGACACCCATCCCCAAGACCAGACTTTCTTCTGCCAATCCTGTCAAACAGGAAACAAATCCAAACCCCCACGCCCTCCCAGTCTCCACCCTGCCCAAGGAGACTCCCTCCATCAAGGGAGGATTCCCAAAACTCACTTCATACGGGCAGTGTCTAACTGAGCCACCGACTCCCCAAAGCTCTTTCAGGTCCTATGTCCTCTCATCCTCAGGGCTGAGGAGGGATCAGAGGTCACCACACCATCCACAGTGAGGTCAGTGACTGGCCCAGGTCACAGGGCGTGGCAGCTCTGACCTCAGCTCCTGAACCACAGGGAGCCTGGTGGACGTATCAGGAGATCGGGAAGGCCTCCCCGAGCAACCAGTGTAGAAGCTGTTGGACCCGGCATGGCAAGAGGGGCCTCTGTGCTCTCCTGCAGCAGCTCATGGCCCCTAGAGCCTCCAGAGAGAGAGAGAAAGCCCTGGGCTCCTCCGAACCCAGCCCAGGAATTGTGAGTGTGACCTTCCCGGAGGATTGCGTTTCAGAGCATGGGCTTTCTAACGACTCCTAGTTCCTAAAAGCAGTCCTGGTAGCTGGACCTGTGCATCCAACACAATGTGCAGGGTCCTCTGTTGATGACTAAGGACAAACTTGAATTACTGCACAGCAGTCCAGCGAGAAGCAGCCACACAGATATGTGTGCTTCCAGAGCGCAAGCTGGGACCCAGAAGCCGAGCCCCGACCTCACTGCCTCAGAAGACAGAACACATAAGCGTGGCTCATTTACTCCTTCCAAGAACTCCCTGCACCCACTC